CTAACTTAAGAATATTTTCTCTGACATTTTGATTGACGTGATGTCTAAAGAAAATGTGTTTGGATTAAGCTTAGAATCCTGGAGACAGGGAAGCTCTGTTCATTTTCTTTAAGATCTCAAGTGCTGATCTTTCTCTTGCTCTAGGCAGCGAGGGGAGGGAATTTGGGAGGCAGACTTTGGGGAAAAAACATTAATCAAATAACCACAAAACTACACTATTTTAAAAATCCCCTGGCAGAAATGGACAGGAGATTATCATAGTGTAGCACACAGAAGCTGAATCCAGTCTGGGGAATCCGAGAAGTCCTCCCTGGGAAAGAGGCAGTGCAGCTGAAGCCTGAAAGATGAGTAGGACTTGGAGTTAACACTGGTGGGAAACATGGCTTGGGGGGGAGGAGGTTTGGGTGTGGAGAAAGTGAAAGCTTTGAAGTTGGAAGGCGCTTACTGCTCTTGACAACCAGAGAGCAGGCCACTGTGGCTGGCGCCGGCAAGCAAAGGGGAAAGAGGAGGGTGATGGGGGCAGAGAGGTCAGCAGGGGTCAAGACATGCGGAGCCCCTAAGCCACATAAAGGGATTTTGGATTTTATCCCCAGAAGCAACGGGAAGTTATTCATTCTCAGAGCCAGGGAGTGGCATGTTAATATTTGTTTCTAAAGGATCACTCAAGGACCCTGTGGATAGTCAGAGGTTGCGTGGGAGAGGTCAGTTCTATGCAGTGGTTCAGGAGAGAGAAGTGAAGGTTGGACCATGGTGTTGGCAGTGGAGATGGAGCAAAGTGCAGATTTCAAACGTACTTTGGAGGTGCAGAAGCCAGAAATTGGTGAGTGGCTGCCTGGAGTAGGCCCAGGAGAGATGGGCTGAGGACATCTTATAGATTTCCGGCATGAACAACTGGGTGGGGGGTGACGACAGAGAGATGGAGGTTTGGGGGTGGTATGAGGCAATCAAGTATGACATGAGGTTGGTTTGCAATTGCTATGGGAGTAGATATGGACGAGGCTCAGAGGAGAGAGGTCTGGGCTGGAGATCTAGAACAGAGGTGTTGCAAACCCATGCAGATGGGGAGAATAGGCAGTAAAAGACAGACCTGGGGCTGAACTCAGAAGAACTCCAACACTGAGGTTTATGGGTAATGGAAAGAGCCAGCAAAGGAAACTGAGAAGGATCACCTTGAGAATTGGAGGAAAACAGAAGTGTTGTATCGTCTAAGACACGAGAAAAGGGTGTTACAGGAAGAGGGGATATTTTAGTATTAAAACTGCTGAAATGTCAATTAAGAAGAGATCTGCAAAGGATTCCATGAATTCAGCAAAAGAGAAGTCACTGGTGACATCAGCAAAGGTTCTGCTAAAATAATGCAAGCTTAAGCCACATTGGAGTGGGTTAATAATAATAATAATGCAGTATATGCTCTGTACTGTCCTATATGCTAAACATATACTAAAGATTAACGTTACTTTAATGATCACAACAACCTGCTGAGGGGAGGTACTATTATCATGCATTCTACAGATGAAGAAACTAAGGCACAGAGAGGATAATTGACTTGTCCAAGGTCATCTGGCAGAAGCAGACTTCAGGGTTAGACAATTTGGCTTGTGAATCCATTCTCTCATCCACTGTACTACCTTGTCTCTTCAACACGTGAACGAGTGTAGAGACAGCATAGATAACTCTTTGGAGAAATTCGGCTGTGAGTGGGGAGACAGGGCAGCAGCTCGATGTATAAAAGGGGGGTGGTCCTAGAAGAACAATTTTTATAAAGTAGAGACTGGGTCTAGAATGCATTCAAATGTTGATTGGAAGAATCTTAGCAGGGAGACTGAAGTGATCGCAGCATGAAGTGATGATCATGGATGAAGGCCCAGGAGAACCAAGATGGGGCAGAGCCCAGAAGGAAGGGTTGCCTGCAAAAGGTGGGCAAGCTCTTCCCCTATTGTCCCAGGCAGCGGGGAGGGGAAGGGTGCAGGAAGGATGTTTGCAGGAGGAAAGTAAGGTGAGTCCCTGTCCACAGTGTTTTATTTTCTCTGTGAAACAAAAGGCCAGGCCAGCTGCTGAGAGGGCTGGGGAGTGAGGTGGAGGTGGAGGGGCGTGGCCAGAGATGGCTGGAGAAATCCAAGGGAAGATCACAGGCAGCATCAAGAACACAAGCAGCACCACACTGGGGACTCCGGCAGACTATGGGGAAAGTGTGGTGTTGGTATGGCTGCAAGGTAGTGGGGAGTGCGGGAAGGATCACACATAAAAATGACTTGGGGCTGGGGCAAAGTTAATAGCATATGGGGAATCTTAGTTCTTCATGTACTTCCAGAATATCTGAGAAGCAGCTGTTGGGGATAGGAGAAGATAAACCTCAGAATAATAAATACTTGGAAGTGAGATGGGCTATATGCATAAGCCTTTGCTATCCAGATGCAGAAAAGGATTTGACTAACACCCAAGTGGACATTCTGAGGGGCTGAGGGCACGCCACGCTCTCAGTTGTCCAGACCTCAACAGTCCAGACTTCTGCTTAGAAGATGATAAAACAATCCACTCTCAACAAATTCCTTATAAAAATGAGCAGATTGGAATAATGGGAAAGCAATGACATGCATTCGCAATTCTCAGGGGAAAAGCAGAGCTCTGGAGATAACATAAGAACCACAGGAAAATTTCCAAAAACTCTTTAGCATTCTTAATAGGTTACAGGGAGCCACAAATCCTATAAAGTAGGACCAAAACCCATAAGAAGAGCAGAGGATACAATGAAAATAAAATAAGGGTGGTGGGAGAGAGAGAAAGCGAGAGAGAGAGAGCAAGAGCGAGAGAGTGAGAAAATAAATGTTTCCCACGGATACTCTACAGGCATTCAGAATTTTTGTTGCCTAGGAGGAAGGAAAGATCCCCTCATTTCCTGAGCGTCACCATGTGCTCATGAACCCCCAAACTCTGGGAGGTAGGTATTCTTTCCCACTTTAAAGGGGGTATCTTCGAGGCTAAGAGAGAAGTAATTTGCTCAGGATCCTAACAAGAGGGAAACCAAACAAGGGGCATCTGACTTCAAAGGTCTGGACTTCTACCTCGTAGAGTAAGGGTACTGAGGGAAGAAACTTGCAGAAAGGGCTGAGTTCAGCCTCACTAAGGCCTGAGCACTCCTGGTGCAGAAGTGCCCGTTATGTGCTGGACATCGTCTGCCTGTTTCCTGATTCTCACAGCAATCCTGTTTGATAGGCATTTTTTTTTTCAGATAGGGAAAGATTAAGTGATTTGCCCAAGTACTAGTTTTCTATTGCTGCTATAACACATTACCACGAACCTCGTGGCTTAAGACAACACAAATTTATCTCACAGTTCTGTAGGTTACAAGTTTAACATAGGTCTCTCTGGGCTAAAATCAAGATGTCGGCAGGAGACGTTCCTTTCTGGAGTTTTTAGGGGAGATTCTGTTTCTTTGCCTCTTTTGGTTTCTGAGGTGGCCCATGGTGCTCATGGCCCCCTTCCTCTAGCTTCAAGGCCAGCGACGGCAGTTTGAGTCTTTCCCGGATGGCACCGATCTAACTGTTCTTCCTAGTCACGGCTCTCTCTGACCACAGCTGAGGGGAGCTCGTCACCCTTAAGGACACCTGTGATTAGACGGCCCCACCCGGGCAATGCGGGCTAATCTCCCCACACGAGGTTCCTAACTTAATCACACCCACACAGTCCCTTTTGCCAGGTGCTTACAGGGTAACATATTTACAGGTTTTGAGATTAGGATGTGGATATCTTTGGTGGGTGGATGGGCATTATTTTGTCTTCTATACAAAGGTTAAAAATTATTAAATTATTAAAGGGAATGAGTTTGGAGTTTAATTTAGATTTGGTCAGGAAATCCTGTTGACTCTACCTTCAAAATATATCCAGAATCCTACCACCACCATTTCTAGCACCAGGGGCTGGGCCACTGCATCTCTCACCAGTATTTCTTCTGTAGCCTTCCTTCCCGTTCCTCTATGCCATCGTTGCTCCAGTCCACCCTTAACACAGTGGCCAAAGTGACCCCTTAAAAATATCTTAGATCATGTCAATTCAATTCTCTGTTCTAACCTTCCAATGACTCCCGATTTCATTCTGAATTAAGGCCAAAGTCTTTCTAATGGCCTAGAAGTCCCTGAAGGCCCCCCCCCGCCCCCCCCCCAACCCCAGGAATCTCTGTTCACTCCCTTCCTCATTCTGCACTGACACACTGGCTTCTGCTTTCCTTGAACACACGAGGCTAACTGCTGGAGCAGTTAGAGGATGAATATCCCCTGATTTCACTGCCTATGGGTGTGCAAGGGGCTGCCCCTGTTTCTCTGGCTAATCTCAACTTCCCACTTACTGATCAATGCTGTGAGGTTGAAGTCCAGATGCTCACTTCTGCAAAGGGTGCAGATGTGTGAGGTTTACAGGGATCTCTGAGGAGGTGCCTCTTGTGGGGGGTCTGGATGGCTCTAGCTGGACCTCTTTGACACTCCCTTGCTCCTGCCCATGGCAGCACACCCAGTGGTTTCTTTTCTTTTTCTTAAAATAGAGACAGAGTCTCACTCTGTCCCTGTTTTATTTATTTATTTATTTATTTTTGAGACAGTCTTGCTCCATTACCCCAGGCTGGAGTGCAGTGGTGCCATCATAGCTCACTGCAGCCTCAAATTCCTGGGCTCAAGCAATCCTCCCACCTCACCCTCCCAAGTAGCTGGGACTACAGGAGCGTGCGACTATGCCAGCTAATGTTTTTTTTTTTTATTTTTTTGTAGAGATGGGGTCTTGCTATGTTGCCCAGGATGGTCTCCTGGGCCTCAAGTAATCCTTGCGCCTTGGCCTCCCAAAGTGCTGGGCTTACAGGCGTTGGCTACTGCGTCTGTCCTCCCCATAGTTTCTTACTGCTGTAAGAACTCCCCCAGGGTGGGTCACCATCAAGAGACCTCAAGTTCAGCAACGTTCCTCTATGTCAAACTTGATCCGCAAGAAACTCATCCATCTTGGAGACAGACAGTGATGGGATCGCAGGCCGCTCCACACTTTCCTCTCCCTCCACACTGCCATATCCTTCCTTGCTCATGCAGGAGGCACAGGAAGACTGCTTCCTAAATGCGATTCCCGCTTCATCCCCAAGGATTCTCTTGGCGCCTCACACTTGGCTTTGGTGAGTACGGAGAGGCACTTCCTTCCCCATGGGCTCCCCCAGACCCCAAACTAAAGACTGCAAAGGCCGTCTCCCCCTTTTCCAGCCTGGCAGGAGCCGAGCGTGAGGAAGACGGACATCGCAGAGCATGGTTGGCTTTGGGGATGAAGAAGGGGACAGAGTCTTTTGGTTGTCTCTTAAGAGCCCCAAGAAAATATCTGTCTTCAGACCGTGCCGTATTCATCACCTTATTCGTTCAGCTTGGACCCAGTTCTCCAAATGCCGGAAAATCAGGAAAACTCGCGTGAGCTGCTATAGACGCAAACGTCAACTGTGTAGGCCGTTACGGTGGCCTGAAAGGTTCAAGCTGAACAGAGAAAAATGTCATTTGCCGGTCAAAGAACAACTAACTACCTGTTGGCCGGATTTATTTAACTGGGAAGAATAATTGGATCCAATGGAAGGACTTTAATGTGGTCTAAAATTTCATTTTCTTAGTGAAGACGGTACAAATTTTATGCTAAAAATCTTACTTGTTATGGCTAAAAATTCTAAGACTTTTGAATTTGAGTACACTTATTTTTATTTTGAGAATTTTTTCTCGTGTTTAAAAATAATACATGCAAAAAAATTAATAATGTACGTTTCCAGCACAAACTTGAGAAAACAGAAACGTTTCAACAGGAAAACAAAAAATAACCCACAATTGCCCAGCTGAGAGATAATCAAGTTTGGTGGTAGACAGAATTCTGACATGAGATAATTTAGGATTGGATCACAAAAGGAAGATCATACTTCATTCTGATTTTACTTTGGTTTACTTTCTGTGTTGGAAAATTATTCAATGAACACATTTGAGGAAACAAGATTTGGAATATGGAATTTATCTAAAACCATTAGGGCCCTGAGACAACAGAAATCTCTGTTTTGTTTTAAATAAGCTCACTGAGAAGAAATATTTATTCATAAGAAGAAACTCTCAGGATCCATTTTATCCCCTTAGCTAACACCTACTCACCCCTGATGTGCCTTGCACGTAGGGGTTGGCAGGTATTAATCACAGCTGCTGAGATCTCACATGGGCTCTGACTGAATGAGAAGCCACCAGGGGAAGGGGGAATGGCCAGAGGCTGAAAGAAGACTCCTTGGGTCAGAGGAGACCTCTGGTGAGCCCTTAGGGATGTAATTTTGTAGGGTTTGAGTTGGTTTCCTCTTTCTGTGTCCTGCAGATTGAAAAGCAGAGCCATGAGCAGCAGAACTGCAGGGAGACAAGGATTCCAGGTGTTTGTGGGGTGGCGGGAGGCAGCCTGGGAACAGATTCGGCACCAAAAGGCCACACCCGGTGGAGCAGAAATGTCTTCCCTTGTATAATATGTTAACTAGAGGGTGACAGCAGTCAGGAGCCCATGACCTTAATATTCCCTATTTTGCCCAGACCCCTAGAAGATTTCCTAATAGTTCTTTTATAATTAAAAATAATAACACTGATATTTTCATATCCTTTAGAGTTATTTTTAATTTTTAAAGTGAAGAGTGTACAAGCGAGCCAGATGAGTAAAAGAACTACAATTCTCAAGCCCTTGGAAAGGAAACATTACCCACTCCTTTGTCGAGGAGCTTCTGAGAATGGATAATAGCCAAATAGGAACTTTTTGCTGTGAGCCAAGGATTATTCTATGGGCTCTACAGGTATGTGCTGCCCTCCCCATGCTTTACATCTGAGAGAGCCAAGGCTGAGAAGGGTTAAGTGTAGGGGCCAGAATTCCAACCCAGGAAGTGGGCTTAGCAGCCAGACTTGGCTGCTTCTGATATATTTCTCCAAAACCAAAGCAAACAATCACTAAACATGTCCACCCCTAGTGTTACTCTTGCCACAGTGAGAGGCAGTGGAGGGGACGGTTGATATTGCACATTCTGGAGCCACACGCCAGGGCTTGCACCAAAGTACTGGCAATAGTTCCAGCAGCTTGTCCTGGGCAAGTCACATAATCTCACTAAACTTTAGCTTCCTTCTCTGTAAAATGGGCAAGACCATGCCTATCTCAAGGGATTGTTTAGGGGAACTAGGTAAGACAATGTTTGGAAAGCACTTGGCACAGTGTCTGGCTCAAATGAATGGTACTCATCATGATTCCTGATAATTACTGTTACATTAGAAACCAAGGAGACCTCTGTGTCGTATCCAACATGAAGCAGTGTGGATCCTCTCATTGAGTAGGGGAAATCCCACCAGTAGGGTGCAGAGAAATGTGTGTGTTTGGGTTCATGATGGAGGGGAGGTTGCCAGGGAAGAAGTTAACAGCTCCCCATAAATGGACAGGAGGATGTTTGTGTCCCAAATGTCTGGCTACTGGGGAGAGAAACACGGTGAAGAGGCAGAAGTGGGAGTGAAAGGAGGCTGGGATGGCCTCCGATGCTAAGCTCAGAGAGGACTGAGATCAGGCTGGGAAATGGAGCCACTAAGCGTGGGAGCTCAGTGGAAACCAGTCAACGAGGGAAAGTGCGGGCACCCCTTGCTTTCTCAACTCTCGCTACCCAAACCTAGGAAGAGAATAGATTCAGATGGAGACAAGACTTGTAAGACCAGAGAGCAAGTCAGAGTCTCAGTGAAGCAGACAGACAGCCTGGCCTGCAGCCCCCCAGATATAGATTCAGCTCAACCATACTCAGCATTGTGAAGGACGTCTATTTATTTCATGATTAGCATGTGAAAAGAGGAATGCTTTCTTCCATCTTGGCATGGGGTTCTGGAATGTCCAGATACAACACTGGTATATGCTATCAAAAGATTTCATATCCCAAACCTTTTGCTGTTGTGTCACTGGTATGCCAGCCCTGAGATAGTCTGGAAAGGAACAAGAGCCAGTACCTTTTTGATAACATTTAAAATCCTTAGATTTACATAATGTGACATGATATGAGAGCCATTGTTTAGCTCTTGGCATAGTGATGAATGCCCAGGGCAGAACACCAAAGGAAAAAGTCTTCTTTGGAAGTTTTCCTCAGAACAAATCTGAGGGAATTCGCTGGTTAATGCAAATACATGTCCAAACAAGTCCCGGTTTGCTTAGGGAGTACACGGAGCTGGCAAGCCTCACTTGGCGTGCAGAGCGTGAGGAATGCTTCATTTTAATGAGGGATCCTGGGGGTCTACAATGAGGGTTATGTGGTATCTCCCATGTGTCTCTTAGGGATGTGGACTGATTGTACCCACAGTGGAAGACAGGCCATTAGAAACTACATAGTTTCTGAACTTCTGGGGCTCTGCAAGATGCAGATAATTTAACAGCATATAACTGAATTTGCAAAGACACACTCAGAGTTCCCAGAGTGAAGAACTTGCCTTTCCTACAGGTAAGCAAAGATGAGTGCAAAGTAATAAGACCGTATTTGGGGTGGGGTGGGGACTAAGGGGTTGATTTTAAAGTAATGCTGTAGGCAGTTCCAGATGTGTTTTAAACATCGTGGCATCTCTGGAATAATTGTGTAGACTCTCTACTTGACTATTTTGAAAGATAACAGTTATTTGACTATCAAGTTCATATGTACAAAGTATACAAGTTCATTTTTAAGACATAACTTTAGTCACATTGTATCTGTGAGTCCTGATCATTTGAGGTTGTTTTTGTTTTTTCTTTTAACAATCATAGAAAGTTAAAGGTATAAGGTTTGGATGGGGGAAGAAAGCTTAGAAAGTGATTAGGAAAATAAATGCTTCCCCAGTCCTCGCCAATGGTCTTCACGTTGATGGGGTGGCAGATGGGACGAACTTGACCTCATGCTTGTTCTGGGGTCCATCCTCTGGATGTCCCCTTAGATCCAGCCACAGGGTGTGACTTCCTGGAAGAAAATCCCCTTTCTGCTCAGATCTAGGGCATTATGTGATTGTTTATGCAAAGTATGTGAAGTACTGTACTGACCTTTATTTTATATTTCTTCTCCAGCTGGAGCGAAATGCTCCACAGGGACTGGGCCTCCCAAAGAGCTCCAGGCTTTTGGTGGGATTAAGCACAGTGGAGGGGTGTTCGGAGAACATTATCCAGTCCTTCAGGCTTAAAGGAGGGAATGGTGACCCAGAACTCAGGACAAAAGAGTCCCAAGAGGCAGAAATGCTGGCAGGAGGGACCTCCTCTGTGTGTGTTAATATATCAAAGAGAACTTGGAATTATAAAGAGAAATAAGAAATTCTCTAGGTTAAGATAATTTTCGAAGTGTTAAAACCTGATAAGAATGGAAATTAATGTGAGGTAAACTTGCCAGGCAAAAACTCCTTTATGAGATAAATTTGGCAGCTCACACTTAGGACTTAACTGTACCCCATAGACCAAATGAAGATTTCTTGTGGTTTATTTACCCCAATATTTAAAAACAAAACAGTTTAGTGCATTCTCTATGTAATAGGTAATTCTGGAATATGTTTTAAATGGACTAAGGAAAATGTACATTTTCACTTGTTTCCTAGTAAACTTAAAGCCGTTGCTCTAAGAGGTCATTTCTTCTGTTCTCATTTGTGTTCGCTGAAACTCCCCCAGCCCCCAGCAAAAGCAACAACAACAAAAGATCCCAAGCAAAAAAAGCCCTTAAGCAATAAAACTGGTGTCCAAGAAAAACATTTAGTTTGAAAAAGAGTTGAAAAATGTAGCCTTGGAAGAACCACTGCTTACATGGGATTGTTCAACAAATTCCTGTTGTGTGAGGTTTGGCATATACTTTCTAAAAATATAAGCATCTGGGGAAACGAGACAAAGCCCAGGTCTTGGACCAAATGAGGCACACAGTGTGAATCTGTTAGTGATTATATCCATAATGAAATATGCGCCCAAATTTAGCAGTGCAAAATCTAATACAATAAGAAAGCCCAGCAGGCATGGTCCTTACCATAATATATAGCCAACAGCGAAGGTACATATGGCGGCGAGGCCGCTGCTCCTGCTGGGATACTGATGGTGCGATGTCCTCATCTCGATTAATATAAAGGGCAAAACCGTTGTGTGCTGAAAAAGAACAGAGACTAGGTGACACAGATTCTTATCATCGCCTCTCTATAATTGTTTTTTTCTCCAGTAAGAGCATGCATGCTGTAAATTCCTAGGAAAATGCCGAGCAGAATGCAGTCTATGGCTCACCGAAGAGATGACGTGGACACAAAGACATGTAGAGCATCAATTGCTCCACTGGTATTTTTATTCTGTATCTTAATTTTTGAAATTTTGTTTTTTGAAGTTATGGGAAATTTCTATAACATAGAAAGGTGTATAGAAAAAATTTCAACTTAAGAAAGGAATAAAAATAACCATGTTAACATTTTGGTATATGTCCTATTTCTTTCCTCCTTGTTCATATTACTTATACATAGTTAAGATCATACCATGCATGCAATTTTGTCTTGAATTTTGATCACAATATTGTAGCATGAGAATTTTTTATATGTGATTTTAGAAATTCTTCTATAATATCAGCCCTGACCATAGTTGCCTAAAACTCCATTATATGAATGCACCAAGATTTGTTTAACCAATTCCTGTTCTTGGACATTAAGATATAAAAGGTTTTCAATTTTTCATTTATTAAAAACAACATGATGAAGATCTTTTATAGAACATTTTGTCTGAATGTTAAATTGTTTTTTATAGTCAGAGGCTATAAAGATTTTAAGGCTGTTGATATATAATGCCAAATTATGTGTGTATCAACAGCAGGTTAGGAAACAATGACAAATTAGCTTCCAAAAAGGGTGTGCCAGTTTGCACCAGCAGTGCATAAATTTAGAAATGATGTTTGAAGACAGAATCCCAAAAAGCTGAGTGGAATATTCCTTTTGTTTTTCTGATCCAGTGGCTACTCTAGATACTAAGATCAGTGGATCAGGATGGAGATGAAATTTATCCCACCCATAGATAAGAAGAAAGGAAAGTCAAGTTTTTAAAACCCCAAAAGATCCAAATACTCTTGGTATTTACATTTGGTGGAAAGATATAAGGGACAAAGAACTTCTTAGATAAAAGTAGGTCAGGATATGTGTTTACCTTCCAACACTGGAGATTTTCTCAAGGGTACAAAGATGGAAGAACTGGAAACTGACCCATTAGCAAGTTTAAATTCTATTTAATACCTCCTAAACAGTCATTAAAAAAAAGTAACTTTGTCCTGCTCTTGCTGAATTGTTTGCACATTCAAGGAAAAGGCAGGAAATTGAATGCTATGATTTTCAAACTCTAATAAGTATTTTACAAAATGGAACCAGGTGGTAGGTAGGCATTGGCAGGCAACAAGGGTGTTGAGGATATCAAGACAAACATCTTTGAAGCAACTTATTGTTTATATTCATAGAGAAAATGGAAAGACATGATTTTGTAAGAAATATTAAGACCAGACATTCTTTGCTTCCAAACATTCTCCTCTAGGTAATATATCTGACTGGCAATACATTAGTAATTAGAGTATGGCATTCCCAGAAAGTCAGATGAGTGATCACACAGTTGGCTAGCTTTATATTTCCTTATCTTTTATCTTACCTATTATTATTGTTTTAAAACAGTATACTTATTTCTGAAGGGAACCACACAAAATGTATGCATGTTTTATACTTATTTCTGAAGGGAACCACACAAAATGTATGCGTGTGCTAATACGAGACAATATGCATTTTAAAGATCTATTCTACTGGTTTTTCATGATAACCTAGTTACCTTAGATGACATTGGCCCAGAAATTTCACCAACAGTTTGAGATGCCAACAATAGTTTTACAATGGTGCATTCAGGTAAAATTCAAATATATAGTCAGCAATAAGGCTGTCTTACCAAATCTTACATAAAAAACAAATACCTGCAAATCAAACCTTTCCACTGAAGACAATCCTAATCTGATGGCCTGAGTAGGTTAGAAATGACCATGATTTTTGGCTCATTGATGTTAGGAAATTTCTTAAATTCTGCCTCTTCATTCATTTCTCCAAAACAAGTAATAAATCATCTATTTTTTCTATAAATATTTATTGGTTACATAAGTAACCACTCTGAATATGCTTAGTTATCCAGTTATCATTATTTTATCTAGCCTAGTTGCTGATTATCAGGTATATGCATGGAAGGGTCAAGATGTGCTCTGACCATCCCAGGCAGAAAATCTAGTTGAAAAAGAAAGATCTTTCTAGATCACTTCATCATTGGCATCATCGCCATTAAAAAGGAGCAACTTGTTCCATCAGTGACATAACCACTGACAAAAGATCTCTTTATGGCTAGCCGTGAATGTGCAAGTTTGGACAGTGGCCAGTCTCAGGAGAAGGTAACAACTTATCATTCAGAGTTTTCATGCACTGAAGAATGTATATTACCCCTCTAAAATTTATATTGCAAATATATTTACTCAAAAACAGTATACATTAACAAATGCAAAATATTTATTGCAAATATAAATGTTGCCCTACAGATAACTAAAGTTTTATGTACTAAAAAAATGGTAAAAATCTATAAATGGTCCTGCTGAATAGCTAAGTAGCCTTTAGCAGCTTAGTTATAATTTAAAATCTGCTACAACAAGAAGGATAATTATTTTAGAACTACAGGTACAAGAAATACAGCTCCAATCCATTCTCAGGCAACACTCTCTTTAATGACTTAAGAACCAGGAGTGAAATATTGAACTCCTGTTAAGACCATCAGCTGCACAAGCACGGTAATCTTATGTTTTGTTCACTGTGGTATCTGCAGCACTTAGAAAAGAGCCTGGCACAAAGGAGGTACTCAATCAATATTTGTTGAGATAATTTAATCTTCAAAACAACATCCTAAGTGGGTATTATGAACTCCATTCTGCAGATGAGGCAAGAAAGGCTCAAAAAAGCTAATTTATTTTGCCTAAGATCACAGAGCTAGTAAGTCTGGAGGTAGGATTCAAAAGCAGTTCTGCCTGCCTCCAAATGCCAAGCTCTTTTTTCTATATTAGAATTATATTTTTAAAAGATATCAGAGTTGAATAATCTTTGAATCAATAAACCTGTGGGAGTACATAATTGAAGATTACTTATATTATCTCCCAACAGATTAGAACTACTTTTTGGTTGGACCTCAAAATAAGCCAGAAAGCCTCACTGTAAAAAATGAATTTTGCTAAATGTGTTCTTTCCTGTGGCATATTACTATCTCAATAATTATAAACAATAAAATCAGCTAGCATGAAGTCAGAACCTTCTAGTGGTATGATGACAGTTACAGATGGCTGGAAGCAGACTCAAGAATGATCTGTTTTTATTTCCTCAAACACAAAATCCATTTAAAACTTAACAGTATTCTCAGGTAGATGTAGATCCACTTTGGATAAACAAAAAAGAAGATAAAGTCTGGTTACCAGTGGGGGCTCTTAAGAATAGTATGGGATTGTTCTCTGCAGTACATAGTCAAGAGAACAATTCCCCCGCAGCTGAGTTACTGTGTTGAAAACGTCTGACTTGTTTTAAGTGCTAAGATGAAGAGTTGACAGCCCAAGGAATAAACCTTAATATTCCATATTAACTCTACCCTAGAAAGTCCTGGTCTAAGATACAAGTAGTGACCTTATCCCAAATTCTATCATCTATTGTCGCTCATTTTGATGAAGAGCTGCATTTGGAAGATTGTGTCCAAAAAAAGAAGCCCAAACCTATTTGGGGTTGTTGCATCCTCTGTGTTTTCCCTAGTGGGGTTTGTGTGGGTTCCCTGTGGTGAAGCAGAGTGACTGTGGCCATGGACTGACTGGCCTTCCATGGCAAAAGTCGATCTGAAGAGGTGACCCACCTGGTGGTGGTACCTCCATGCACGGCATGAGCAGAAGGCTAGATTTGCAGAAGAACTTATGATTTCATTATGATGTGAAGACCCTAAAGCAGACAGGACAGGGAAAAAGGCTTCTGGGAAGAGGCTCAAAGGAAGAAAGCAGTATATTGAAGTGGAAAGATCAGGAAACTGGCATCTGAGATCTAGTTCTGATTTTGTCCCTCCTTACTCTATGACTGGCAGGTTGTTGCACATTTGGAAAGCTTAGTATCCTCCTCTATTAGATGAGGGGGGTGGATTAAATTTGTGCCTCTCAAATTTCTGACATGAAATACTAAGAAGTTTGGCTGTAACACATACCGTGGCTAATTGACCTATGCATTAGGAAGAGTAGACACAGTGCCAGGGCTCGCAATACCTTTAGTGGCCCATGAAAAGGTTTTAATTTCTTTTAAAATCAGAAGAAAAAATTGAAGTTTCAGAGTTGAAATTTATATTCATTAATTGTAGTCACAAAGCATCACACATATATATATACACACACACACATGTTCACACACACATGCACGCATGCACACACACACTCACTCATTGATGTAAGGAGGGACCCATGAATAGAAAGTGCCTAGAGCCTACCAAGGTCATTGTGTGGCCCTGGCATGTTACTTGATTTAAAAAACTTTTTTTTTTTAACTCAAATCACATTTTTTCTTAAATAAATATATTTAAAGGGAAACTTTATGTAAACTCTCAGAAATGAACTATCACTTGTCATAACTAGAAGATAGCTACAAAAAATACAAAATGAAAATGAATTAATCTTAATAAATTTTTGCTAGATATGTTTGCCCGTCAAAGGCTTTGGATTCCTAGGCCTGCTCTGTGTTGTGCAAGGGTGTTAGTAAGTAGCAGAGGAACGTTAACGACACACTAGCATTACATAGAGACTCTCCTAAACAGAATCAGAAGGATTGCAAGATAATTCAGAGGGGATTACCTTTTCACTATGTGATTTAATATTATTTAATGCCAGGTCCCTGTGCCACATAAATTATCCTGCGTACCACCAGAGCTACACAGCCTACATACTTGGATGCACTGGAGTCGATTATTTATAAATCGTAGTTGTACTACGATTAAACTACTAGATTATTACTAAACTACTAGATTATTTGATTTACAATGGATGTTCTTTCACCAGAAAAATGAAGGGATGAGTAATTAGGGAGTGTAGGTGCTGACAGAGGAATGTAATAGTATTTAAAGAAACAAGTTCACACTACACGAGAAGGATCTGGACTGGCTATTGGGAAAAACATTTTTATTATGTGATGGTAATCAGCGATCTATACACTACAGCAAAAGTTTTAAAATAACCTTTGCTGTCAATTAATAGAAGGATAAAACTTTGCTGTGTGATGGTATAAATCCAGGCAAGTGGGATGGATGAATTAGCGGACCTCTCAAGACTGTTTTAGTTCTCTAGAATTGAGAGTGGTAATCAGAGTGTACAATATAAAAAATAATAGACAAGATTTGAAGACTGTGTTCAACTGACATTTTTCTGGTCTTTCCCCTTCTCTCCAAAATATTTTCTCTATAGGAGAGTACTGCTCCCATAGCATACGAGTACCAGGTAAAAATCGTTTCTTCCTAGGAAGCAAAACTGGCTTTTGAATGTGAGGTGTGAGCAGCCCTGCTGGGTCATGAAAGAGCTGGCAATGCC